TTTCCTTCAGCAAGCCTTTCTGTAGGCTCCATGCCTAGCATGGAACCCAATGTAGGGCTTGAACTCACAACCTTGAGCTCAAGGCCTGAGCTAAGAGCAAGAGTTGGACCGTTAACTGACTGAGGCACCCAGGCATCCAAAAGCTACAAATAGGGCAGCCCCTGTGGCTCAATGGTTTGGCACCACCTTCAGCCCGGGGCCTGATCCTGGAGACCTGGGATCCAGTCCTGCGTTGGGCTCCCTGCATGGAGCCTGCTTTTCCCTCTGCCTGTGTCTCTGCCTCTCTGTGTCTGTGTGTGTCTGTCATGAATGAATAAATAAAATCTTTAAAAAAACAAAAAGCTCCAAATAGAAAGATTTCTAATCAGGGAGTTAGGGATATAGAGTATAAAGGGACATGACCAAAAGAACCTGGGGTGGTGGGTCATAGATTTAAAAAGATTGAGAATACTGATAGGTTAAGTTAATAGACTTGAAGGTAGGGTGGGATAAACACCATGGGAGAAAGGCATTCCGAAAAGTAGAATCAAAGCAACAGGAACAGAAAAAGTAAGTTATGTTTTAAGAATCTTATTTATCTAGATTGCTTGCAGTATAAGTAAAAATGGAAGAAAGCCTAAAAAAAAACTGGTTGGAACCAGATTATGGAAGGCTTTGAGTATAGAGAATTTAGAGTTGGCAAACATACTGTGAAATCAGAAAGTTTTGAGCAAGAAATAATAATTGGCTTGATTTAAACAGTGATATACAGGAAAATGTTGGTAGTGAGAAGATAGGCAGAGACTGCAGACCAGGCAATCAGTTAGGAGACTAATACAGTAATCTAAAGTAGGGAGGGCCTGGAGATGACTATATTCATTTCATTAAGTGCCTGCTGTGATTGAGGTGCTGGTGATGCAATAAAGATTAACTCCTCGTCATGCAGGGGTGTTCAATCTAGTGAGACATTGATCTTTTATTTTTATTTTTATTTATTTATGATAGACAGAGAGAGAGAGAGACAGGCAGAGACACAGGCAGAGGGAGAAGCAGGCTCCATGCACCGGGAGCCCGACGTGGGATTCGATCCCGGGTCTCCAGGATCGCGCCCTGGGCCAAAGGCAGGCGCCAAACCGCTGCGCCACCCAGGGATCCCGAGACATTGATCTTTTAAAGGCTCCTAGAGGAGTCTCTATTTTGGGACCACTTCTGACCCTTGCCGGTTACCAAGGGATAGGTCCTCATTTAACAATGAGATATAAAAAAATAATAATAATAATAATAACAATGAGATATAGGGATCCCTGGGTGGCGCAGCAGTTTGGCGCCTGCCTTTGGCCCAGGGCGTGATCCTGGAGACCCGGGATCGAATCCCACGTCGGTCTCCCGGTGCATGGAGCCTGCTTCTCCCTCTGCCTGTGTCTCTGCCTCTCTCTCTCTCTCTGTGTGTGTGACTATCATAAATTAAAAAAAAAAAAAAAAACAATGAGATATATTACCTACCTTCTAAAACTACTTTCCCATTTCATGAGTCTGCTAAGGCAAAAGTATCCCATCCACTTGCACATAAAGAAAAGCAATTTATTACTTAAAACAAGATAAGACAGGAACACTACCAGACAAGGCAAAGAAGAAAATGACATGTGTTTTAAAGAGATAACTGAAGATGATGTGGGGAATGAATTGGAGGTTAGATTAGGAGCAAGAAAACCAGTTAAGAGGTTGTTGTAGTAATCCACGTGCTTCATTGTGAGGGCCTGAACAAAGAGAGTATGAAACAAGAGCAATCATTGGTGGCTACTTCCACTATAACCCTTTCTATCCCTGCCCTGGTTCAACTAAGGGATGGGTAGGGGACTCTCATTTAGAACTGATTTTTTTGTTTTTGTTTTTGTTTTTTTTTTTTTTTTGAGAAAGAGAGTGATTTGAGGGTGGTGGTGGGAGCAGAGGGAGAGAGACTCCTCAAGCAGACTCCCAGCTAAGTGCCCAGGAGGACACTGGGCTTGATCCCAGGACCCTGAGATCATGACCCCGGCCAAAATCAAGAGTGGGACGCTCAAATGACAGAGCTACCAGGTGTTCCTGGAATTGAATCTTGAATGGAGGGACTCAAAAACACAAGAAACTGTTCACTTTTTCAGATTAGAGGTAATGCTCCTATTGTCAAGTAGTCTGTTTTCTAGTTTCCTTATTTGGAACATGGTTCACCAGCCTTCACATGGATTCCCTGAGCTCCCTGATAAATTTTTGGTTTTGCTTTATTTAGCTAGCCCAAATTGGTTCCTAGGGCTTACAATTAAAAACAAACAACACTACAACAAAAACCCACCCTAATTGACACTGTATGCAATGTCTGAGTCACCTGTGGATAATCAGGAAGCAATTGTTAGGTAGTAGGAAATATGAAACTAGAAGAGTGGTTCTCAAAGTCATGCATCAGCATCACCTGAGAACTAATAATGTAAATTCTTAGGCTTCACTCCAGATTTACTGAATATGAAACTCCAGCAGTGGGACCCTAACAATCTGAACATTAGTAAGCCCTCCAGGTGATTCTAATGCCAGTGAAGTTTGAGAACCAACTTAACTAGAAGGGAGATTTGGGTTGGAGATAAAGATGTGTGAGTCAATATAATTAAATTCCTTCAATTGCTATTGAAGGAATGAATAAACTTCAAGAATAGAAGAGAGAATAAGCCCCTGATAATAGATGAAACAATCAAAGAAATTGAGACTAGTGCTGTACAATCAGGGAGGGGGAAATGTAACAGGTTTCAGGTGATCTACAGTTTCAAGTGCTATACAGAGGTCAGGATGGATAAGCGTAGAGTTACAGCTATAGGAGTCCCTGTTAGGAGGTTTTTGGTGTCAAGAGGAGTGATACAGATAACAAGAATAAGTGATGAGAGAACACAGGCAAAATAAAAGATACTTTTTGCAGCAGTTTGGGAGTGCAAGAAAGAAAGGATAATAAGGTCAAGAAGAGCTTTCTCAGGGTAGATATTTCAGTTAGCTTTTGCTGCATAGCAAACAGTTGAAAACTCAGAGGCTTAAGACTGTAGTTATTATCATGGCTCGTGTCTGAGGGTTGGCTGATCTCAGCAGGGCTTGCCTGTGCATCTATAAGGCCACTGGAGAGCTTTGTTCCACACTGGACTCTATTCCACAGGTCATCCTCCTCCTGTCTGGCTTAGCTAGGCATCTCTTCCCATGGAGATGAAAGAAGAATTTTAAGAGAACAAGCAAAAACATACAAGGTCCCTTGAATCCTTGACTCCAAACTGACAAACTGACACTTCTGCCTCATTCTGTTGGCCAGATCAGGTTATGTGGCAGTTTTAAGGGGTGGGGAAATAGAATTTACCTTTGCAGAGAAATGGCAAAGTGACATGGCAAAGGGTGAGGGTGGGCTCATGGAGGGGTATAGAATTGGGATCATGCATACCATAGTAGGAATGGCCTGAGCATGCTTGAAAGTAAAAGGGAAGAAACATGTAGAACAAAGAAGAAAGTGAGCCAAGAAGAGAGATCTGTACCATAGCTCAGAGAATTAACCTTTGAAAAAAGGAAGGATACCTCTGGGAATGGAAAGAAGGGAATTTGGTTGGATTAGATTTAGCAAATTAAAATGCAGGATGTCTAGTAAAATTTGAACTTCAGGTAAGCAGTGAATACATTTTTAGCGTTAAGTATGTTCTGTACAGTATTTGGTAGACTCTCAGTACATAGTTTGCTGGAGTTTATTATTTTAAATGCTAGATATTTCTGTAGTGCAATATTTGAGACATACTAAAATATGATTCCTTGTTTATTTGAAACTCAAATTTAACTGGGCATCCTGTATCTTATCTGGCAACCCTCCTTTGGTTAAGTTTTAAGTAAATTCATAGTAAGATAATCTACAAAGGGATAGATGGGTGCATTTGGGGATTTAATCCTGGAAGAAGTTGGGAACAGCTGCTATGGATACTGCGAGATGTCAAAGGATTGCTGAGCAGCATTGAAGGCCCACTTAGCAACAGGAAGCATGACTTTTTCTTGGATTAAATCAACTGTAATGTTACACTGCTAGGAAGCAGTAGTAGTAACAGAGATTGCTGGTGCAGGCGACCACCTTGGTCTGACTTCAGTAGAAGAGATTGGGGCAGGAGTTTGGGGTATAATTGAAACGATGGGGGATCCAGATTATATAGGGAAGCAGGTGAAACCAGAAAGTGAATTGGGAGACAGAAGGTGAACAGTGAGTCAGAGAAGTATTAAGAGGTGGAAGTTCACAAAGAAATGGAATTTACAATCTTGGAAGAATAGTTTTGTGTGATAATGGGGGTTTAAAAATCCAATTTCACATTACAGCACTGGAGCTAAATTAAAAGCAAGAGCTCTGCAGACAAGGCACCTGGTCTTGAATCTCTTTGTTTGATCTTTAATTTCCCTGTGCCTTAGCTCTTTGTAAAATAGAAATAATAATAGTTCTTACTTCATAGGGTTATTGTGGAAATTAGGTGAGACAAACCAGATGAAGTACCTAGAACAGTATGTCTAATACACAGTAAACCGTCAAATGTTGGCTATGTTTTTTTATTTTAAACACCACTTTCCCAGTGCCCAAGTGGCTCAGTGGAGTAAGGTCCTGGGATCGAGTCCCATGTGGGGCTGGCTCCCTGCTCAGTGGGGAGTCAGCTTCTACCTCTCTCCCCAACCCCTGTTTGTGCACACACACTCTTTCTCCCTCCTGCTCTCTCTCAAATAAAATCTTTAAGTAAATAAATACTACTTTCCACACATCTATAATCAGTAAATGTGAGTGCTCTGGAGAATATTAAAGACAAATGGCAAGCATACATAGTATGTTTTCCACCATAGCTAACAAATGCTATCTTTGGTAAATATATAGACAATCAGCTAGCTACCTGTTAAAGATGAAGCCCACAAAATCTTTACCATTTAAGGCTGTTTTCTTTACTGTTACTACAAGAAAATAATTATGCTCAAGTCCTATCTGTCTCCTCATTTCCCCATAGGTGACCATGCATTGGGATTTTCATAGTTTGAGTTAATTCCTCTGGGCTCCACCACCCAGCGAGTTACACAGGACAAGATTCCTCCCAGGGGACTGTGGTTCTGGGAATGTGAGCAGCTTGTTTTCATGATATCTGCACCCTGACCTGGCCTACTGTTAGGAGCTGTTGTGTTGGTGGTCATGTTGTCTTTAGTCGTTTTTTTTCTTTCTTACACAGTTATTTGTATATAAATATTTTTGAAAAGTAAATGTTCTATGCCGCTATTTTGCTTATACAAAGAAAAATTAAAACTATTTTGAAGTAATTACATGTGTCATATTTTTCTCTTTCAAAATAAATGAAAGTATTAATTCGTATCTTCTGGAAAGAAAATTAAAATGCAGGAAATGGTTATGCTCTTAATGTTTGAAAATAAGGTAATATTCTCTGTTCGAATGGAGCCTTCTAAGGAATTACTAGAGTCTCATACACAATCGACTTAAATGCATTCTTTATCTTTAAAAGGAAGCAGAATAGGATCATTGAGTAAGTCACATGTGTTCACAGCCTTGTCTGGTGTAATCATATCCTACACAAACACATTATTCTCTAGTCAGAAGGGTAAGGGGACATTTGAAACAGGACCTGCCCTTGCGGAGACCTTTTTTTGTTTAAAGAACGGTGCAGCTAGAGACCACACAGTAGAAGATAACAGAAAATATCTTCCATGCCTTCCTCTACCTGTATATTTTCTCATTCTCTTTTGTTCTCTAAGGACATCTGTTGTAATGATTATTCTGTAAAACTCATAGGTATATAGCAGACGGCATATCATATTTCATTTATTATTTTGTCTACTGTAATTATTGCTCTTTTATATCATGCCATTGTAGGTCTTTAAAATATTTTGTTTATAAAGGATATGAAAGGATATTACAGAAAATTAGGTGACTAGAGATAGCTAAAGAGTAAATGTTTTAACTCTGAATTTAATATTATATCTTAGGAAGTCTAATCAACTTGTATTAAGCTACATTTTAAAGAGATAAATGTGGTTAAAACATGCTTAAACTCTGAATCTAATTTTCCTCTTTTTATATTAATTGCAATGATTTTTTTACAATGAAAAGATATTGAAAGATATTCTTAATTATAAACAACAGTAACGTGAGATTTGGAGGCTTTAAAATAGGTCCATTATTTGAAATGTTTTCAGTGTTTTGATAGCTGGTTTGCTGTCTATACAATGGTTGCAATTAAAAATTTAAGTTTTTTAAAAAAAAAATTTTAAATATTAAAAAATTCAGGTATTTACTTTTTTATTTAAATAATTTTATTTAAAAAAATAAAGATTTTCTGTATTTATTCATGAGAGACAGAGAGAGAGAGAGAGAGAGAGATGCAGAGACATAAGCTCCCCAGAGAGAGAGAGAGAGAGATGCAGAGACATAGGCTCCCCACAAGGAGCCCGATGTGGGACTGGATCCCAGGACCCCAGGATCACACTCTCAGCCGAAGGCAGACACTCAACCACTGAGCCACCAGGTGTCCCAAGTATATACTTCTTCTTAGGAGTTTTTATATTGCCTCCCAATTTTCCCCTTGGTTAATCCTTTGGGAATTTTGACATTTACATCTGAAGGGTTTGGTGGTTTTTTTGTTTTTTTTTTTTTTTTTAGTCTTTTTTAATATAAAAAATTAAAAAATTTCAAACAGACTTAAGTAGAACAAGCAGTATAATTAACCCCCAAGTTATGTTTGAGCTTTAAGTGATATATTAATATAGGTGTTTCACTTATTAATACAACAGATGTTCAAGAACCCCGAATAGTTGTAGCTTAATGCACACTTGAAAGAATTCATATAAATCAAATTTTTAAAAATATCCAACCATTTCCCAGCCTATGACAGATTGTTATTTCAAATATTTGTTGATGGTCAACCAATTTTTGGACCTACAAATATGATCTTCATAGAAATAATCTTAAAATGACTTTGCTATTCAGGCCAACACTCAGTAATTTATCTAATTCGCATTAAGTGAAGCCCATGCACCTCTTTTAACATTGTTTCAATGAGATAATGCCTTTCTTGCAATTGGAATACTACAGAACAACTGCTACCCATCTTCCCTTTTACTAAGTATGGGGGACAGAAAAGTGGAGAGTCAAGGTCCTGTGATGGAGATTCACATCCATAATGTGTTTTGATTCTCCCAGCAAAACCATGGGAACTCTGACAGTAAGAGGGTGTAGGGATAGGAGTGCATTCTGTACATACCATTCTGAAATTATTTACCTTTTCTTCAGCTAGTTGAGTTTTTGGTGTGCCTTTTTTAAAAAGATTTTGTTTATTTATTTGACAGAGCAAGCACAAGCAGAGGGAGTAGCAGGCAGAGGAAGAAGCAGAGGCTCCCTGTGGTCTTAGGTCTCTGGGATCCTAACCTGCACTGAAGGCAGACACTTAACCAACTGAGCCACTCAGGAGCCCCATTTTTTTGTCTTTTTTAAAGGCATTTTTGCTTTTAAAGAAAAATTAAAAGGGGTTTCCTGGTTGGCTCAGTTAGTTAAGCATACAACTCTTGATTTCGGCTCAGGTCATGACCTCACGGTCATGAGAACAAGCCCTGTGTTGGGCTCTGTGCTCAGCGGGGAGTCTGCTTGGGATTCTCTGTCTCCCTCACCTCCTTCCCCTCCCCGCACTGGCACTCTCTCTCAAAACAAATAAAATCTTTTTTAAAATATTCTCCTTCTTGCTTCCCCTCTTGGAGCACACTCTTGCTACAAAAATTAAAAATGCTTGCTTAAAAAAAAAAAGAAAGAAACCTTCCTTTATAAGGAAGGCTTATCTTCCTTTATTTGTATGGATACAATACTCCATGTTGTATCTAAAGTATACATGTTGCAGACTTTTAAAAGTAGGCTTCTGATTTTCTTCTTTAAGTTTCTGACATAGGAGAAAATTATTTTCACTGCTGAGATATACCTAAGACAATAAGAAAAAATTCCTGAATACTAAAACAGAAAATTAGAATATAAACAAAGTATTAACTTGCCAATAAATCAGACTGTTGCAATAATGTTTGTAGTGAACCTATAAATATTATTAACCTTTTAGAGTATCTGGGAATGACAAAGAAAGATGTGCTCTGATGCTTTAGTCATGCCATCCTATACTCACACTTCCAAATTGACCTTAAATTCTTACTCTTCCAAAACCCTTCCCTAAGCAAGAACTTGGAGCCACAAAACTGTGTTCATCAACTTCTTTCCATTTTGTTTGCAAACTGAAATAAAAAGGGAAATAAAGCAAGTGCTTTATGGGTAGAGCAACAGGGTGAAGATCCAGAAAGTGGGAAATAGCTGAAAACAAGGCCAGCTCAGAGTTAGGAACTCCAAACATTACAATTGTCTGTGAGCCAGAGATAGCCACTTAACCTACTAAGGTAGTGAAATGAATGATTGAAATGAATTAGCCCTAGTTCTTCTGTGAATAGTCACCCTAGATCCTGCAAAGTCTCTAAAAGTGCAGTAGGACTGTTACCCTCTCAGCTGTTAGGTTCCATGTTATGCTTGTGAGTGCTTGATAGCAGGCCCCCAACATTAGCTAGCTTCATTTTCCAGAGGGAGCAATGCCAGGCATTGTTCTTTCCTAAGTACAGAAGGAACCAGGCATACTTTGTGATGTGTCCACCAAAGGTCCTGCAGCATGGTAACCATAGCCTCACTACTGACCCATGCTCCCATCAGATAAGGAGGGGCCTACTGTGGGTTAAGTAGCACAGTAATGAGGTCCTTTACATGTTACTGTAGGAATCCCCACAGTAACCCTGAGGACAGAGGTATTGTCTACATTTTACAGATGAGAAAATTTCCTAAGAACCTTAGTGATGGAGCTAGTGAACGGTAAAACTACATTCAACCCTGCTATGAGCGAGTTGGACTACATACAGATCCCTTATTTAAACCTGTCCACAAAGCTAAGGAGAAAATACCAAGAAGGCTTCTCTGCAGTTAGCTTTATACTCACCAGCAACCCTAAGAACTCTGGCTCCTCTGCCCATGGGACCTGGACCCTTGAAACTCCAAGAGGTAGCTCATTTTCTCAAGATCTCCTCCAACACCACCACCACCCCCTCCCCAAATCCAGAGTAAGCCTGTCCCTTCCCAGCTCTTCTGAAATCTCATGAGAACGGCCTGCTTCTCTCAGAAGAAGGCTCCTGCAGCTAGAAACCCAATCTTCTCTAACCCGGATGAGTAAACTCTGGAGCTTGATATCAAGACACTGTTTCAGAAGAACTCTTCAAGTGTGAAGCCCCTCCCTGCTGACCAGTGATGTTGAGAGTGCTAAAGGATAAGTTCTCCCACCAACCAGTGCAACCCAGAGAAGAGCCTGCATGAAGGTAGTAAGAGGAATAGAAATAAAATGCGAGGAACTGGAATCATCAGGGGATCCTACCAGGAGCTTCTAGGTGCATGAAAGTTTTTTCTGCATCCATAACTTCTCTAGTAACTGTAAAGATAGCTAGCTACTTCTAGATCTCTGAATTCTAACTGCTGGTGAAGGAGAGTCCAAATTATGATATCAGAGTCAGAAACTCCCAGAAATAGCAGGGGGCTGTTCGCAAGTTATGTTCCTGGGACCAGCAGCATTAGCCTCACCTGGGAACTTGTTAAAGATGCAAATTATTGGGCCCAATCCCAGACCTACTAAATCGGAAGTGGGACCCAGAAATCTGTGGTTTAACAAACCATTCACGTGGTCCTGATGTAAGCTGAAGTTTGAAGACCACTGGCTTAGGAGGATGAAGGATAATCTCAGGTTCTCCACATTAACCTAGAGTTAACCTGCGACACCTGCCTGGGACTAGAGCTCAGTGGTCAGAGTTCAGTGATTCGTCCAACCAAGACTACTGCCTCATTACTCATTATTTTCTTTGAAAACTCCTAGGAAAATTTTGGGCAAATAGCAGATGATCCGTCATGACCGAACTGAATTTTTTTTTAAGATTTTATTTATTTATTAGAGACAGAGAGAGAGAGAGAGGCGCAGAGACACAGGCAGAGGGAGAAGCAGGCCCTGTGCGGGGAGCCCGATGTGGGACTCAATCTCGGGTCTCCAGGATCACACCCTGGGCTGAAGGCGGCGCTAAACCGCTAAGCCACTGGGGCTGCCCCCGAACTGAAATTTTAAAACACATTTATGATAAATCGGAAATAACTTCAATGTCTATTAATAGGGATTCGATTAAAAACAAACTCTATGAGGACTGGGTCCAATACTGACCAACACTAGGTTCACTATATTCTTATGGCCTAA